CTCTGGACACATTCAAGTACCTTAACATCCTTTTGAAATGGTGGTGCCCAGAACCACACACACAATGCTCAAGGTGAGGCCACACCAGCACTAAATACAGCGGGATAATCACCCCTTCTGTCCATCTGGTTACACTGTGGTTGGTGCACCCCAGGATGGGGTTTGCCCTCTTGGCTGCCAGGGCACATGGCTGACTCCTGTTGAGCCTGCTGCCAACCAGCACCCGCAGACCCCTTTTGCAGGGCTGCTCTCCAGCCACTCCTCTCCCAGTTTAGACTTGTGCCCAGCCGTACGTCGTCCCAGGTGCAGAATCCAGCATCTGGTCTTGTTCCGTTTCGTGCTGTTGATGATTGCCCAGTGCTCCCACCTATCCAGATCCCTCTGCAAGGCCTCTTGTCCCCTGAGAGAGTCAGCAGTACCTCCCAGTTTCATATCATCATCAGACCTCCTAATGGAGCATTCAGCTCCTGCATCCAGATCATTGTTTCAGAATTGAGCCCTGAGGAACAGTGCTGGTGACTGGCCACCAGCCAGATGTAGCCCTGTTGGCTACAACCCTCTGAGCCCTGCCGTTCAGCCAGTTCTTCACCCTTTGCACCATCTACCTGCTCATCTCACAGCTGGTCAACTTTTCAAGAAGGATGCTGGGAGGGACAGTACCAAAAGCCTTACTAAAATCCAGAAAAACTACATCCACTGCCTTCCCTTCATCCATCAGGCAGGTGACCTTATCATAGAAGGATATCAAATTAGTTAGACAGGACCTTGTGAACCCATGTTGACTTGGCCTGATGATTGCACTGGTTTTTAAATGCCTTTCAATATCAGTATGATCTTCATAATTTTTCCAAGTAGTGAGGTTAGACTAACAAGTCTGAAGTTCCCTGGCTCTTCTGTTAAGCCCTTCTTGTAAATTGGAATAGCTTTGGCTAGCTTCCAGTCAGCAGGGACTTCTTTCCATTAAACAGGTGTGCAGATTAATTTGAGACGGCACAGCAGTCTAAACTTAAAAGCAGCTACAATGTGAGCTACAAAACCAGAGGAAAACAAAGAAGGGTGGTGTGTAAATGGGTGATATTTTCAGAAACCAGTTTGGAATAGAACAGCCTGGGCAAAAAAAGGTAGGAGTTCATAACTCATTACTATGAAATCTGCTCTGATCTGATTGGAAACCTCCCAGTTTTCTTAGGAGAGGGAATGCTTTGGGGTGCTTCTGAGTGGCTGTTATAAAGGCCTTTTCTGCTTATAATAGAGTAAATCCGAATGCCCAACTGTGTTCAAACCATTGACTAGGAGAGTCATGGTCTTCTAACGTGGAGGCAGTGGAAAAGGATTTTCTGGCACTACAAAACTGGTAGGAGTTTGCTCTCTGTCAGATCATTGTCATTTTTAAAACAGTCTGTGGAGATTTTCCAGGTCAGACAAATTTTCATTCCTTGATTGAAAGAAAGATGCCCATCAAAATGTTTTTCAAATTACTCTTATTTTGCATATAAGCATAGCTGGAAGTTGCCCTGTCTTTGCACTGTTGAGAGACAGATCCATCTACCTCATCTTTGTCAGTAGTGTTCTAGTTTGCGATAGCATTGGTATTCTGGATTAAAAAGTATTTTTTTCTTAAATGAATATTCATTTAAACATTGCTTTTCTTTTCCAGGAGAGCTACAAAGGCTCAGCTAAGATACAGGTTTTGTAACAGTTGCAAATTAACTTTGTGAAATACCAGTTTTGGTCTAAAGAGCTTGCGCAGGAAGGCAAGGAATGTAAAGATTTTCATTTCTAGTTTATAGGTCAGGTTGGTAATAGGGAAA